TCCATTTAGTGGGCCATAAGTAGAGTTATAAGCCAAGTCAGAAGTTGTTTCTAGGTCCCATGAAGCTCCCAGGAGAGAGAAGCCTAGATCCTAACGCTAAACCCTATAAATCATTATACACCCATACATGTCTCCTATAAACCTTTTAAAGTATGACTAATAATTCTGACAGAGCATGGCCACCGAAAGATTAGATTCATGGCCGTGAAAAGATGGCAGCAAGACAGATTTAGGGTGTAGGGTTTTAGGGTTGAAGGTTAAGGGTTTTGGGTTTAGGGACTTGCCAACTTTGGTGGGAAAACCTAATTCAACCACCAAACTCTAGACTCTAGGCCCTAAATCTTAAGCCGGGGAAAGAACACAACTTCAGATTGCGTACAGCGTACAGGTAGCCAGGAGAAGCCGACATGCACGGTAGTAGTTGCCACTCGCAGTTTCAGGGTGTTGGGTTTGGGGTTTGGGATACCCCAAGCCCTGAACAATAACTCTCACCCAACCATTTGCCCAGCGATCGCAGGGCTGGAGTAGTGCCAGCGGTCGCTTGTCACGTAAGGTCCTAACTGGGTCCTGACTATGGACTTTTCAACGAATTTGCGGGGTTTTGACCCTAAACCCTAAACCTTTAAACCTTCAACCCTAAATTATTGAGGGGCCCCGATTCCAACTTTAGATAACAAGCACTAGACTCACGCAGCTCTTTAATCAAGGGGTTATACCTTGAGTTGGGCCCCCACCCACTAACAGTGGTATACAGGAATATATAAGGACCTTTATATAATTACCACTACGTCTTGTGGACACCATTAGTGGGTGGGGGCTCAACCTAAGTAATACCCTAAGCCATCATACTCTGGTGCCCAGTAACAATTCCAGGAACACGTCTTTGCCATTTGCTTTTTTTGAAGTTCTGGGCGGTATCTTCAAGATACACGAAGCAGGGGTGCAGGGTTTAGGTTTAGGGTTTGAAGTTGAAGTTTGGGATATAGGGTTCAGGGATGAGGGTCTGACGTTGGTGTGTGTTAGGGCGGTTAGGGTTTCTTGTAGTCTTTTCTGAAATCATTATGGCGGGGACGCATCCTTTCGATTTCCACTAAATGTAGGGGCCTCAGTTTCAATACTTAGAACCAGGTCTCCGGGGAGTATTCTGCTATAACTATAGACTATAGCCATGGACAGCTTGGACAGGGATAGGGTTTCAACGTGCCCTAAACATTGGGTACTGCCCCCCCTCAGTAACAGTTGGATAATAGATATAATATGGTTATATATAGCCCTTAATAGGACCCCTAGACTGTTACTGGGGGGGGGGCAGTACCCAACCTAAACAATATCAAAATGGACAGGCGCTCTGCAGCTCCAAGAATACAGCAAAGACAACTAAGCCCTGAGCCCCTGCCTGAACCCTGAAAGTATACACAATAATGGCCTTCGGGGCTGTTATTAAAGGGTTTAGGGCTATTATCTTACATACTTTTGGGGTTTAGGTAGAACCCTCAAGCCCAACCCGTAACATTGTGAAACCTCCAAGCTCCCAAAACCCTAACCCTTACGGTCCCCTTTAAGTGTAGATAGAATATGGGGTATATGGGTATCTTACTATAATACTTAAGTTGGACTATAAGCCACAAACCTTAAACCCTAAACCCCAAACCCCTGAACCCGAGGGATGGCACTGGACCTAAAACTATCATATTTCAGTCCTGGGACCCTTGAAGGGCCTTGCAGCGAGTCCTCAAAGCCTGTATATATCTGTAACTAAGTTAGGGTTTAGGGCCTAAACCCTGAACTCGCAGGACATCCATAAAACAAAGAAAAGAGGACTTGGGCCACCAAAACCGCCAAAACTAGGGCCCCATTGTAGTCATGCAATAATTGTTAGAGTCCCTTTTTTGGGCGTAGAGGGCTAAACCCGAAGCCCTTAACCTTCAAACCTAATTCCTAAGCCCTAAACGCTAAGCCCTAACCCCTCAAACCTGAAACCCTAAGCCCTGAACCTTCAACCCTAAGACCTAAACCCTATAAACCCTAAGCCGCTGCCCCAAGGTTCCCCGCAGCCTTCGCGGCCACCAGCCGTCAGTTGCTGGGTTGCTGTCAGGTACATCATTTAAGTCATCACTGCTTTGGGTTCAGGCTTTAAGTTAATACTATTTAGGGTTTAGGGTGTAAGTCAACACTATCTAGTGTTTAGTCTTTAGGGTGAACAGTTATCACTGTTTAGGATTTAGGGTCGTTAGGGCTATCTTTAAAAGAGAGACCCCATTGTTTACATATGTGTAAGCAATCCATGTTATTTGGCTGTATGTACATATATACATGTTTATTTGAGACCTCACTTTAAGTTCCACAAAAGCAGCTGAAGTTCCGCTAAATCTCAACCCCCAAACCCTAATCCCTAAATCCCAAACCCCAACCCAACCCCAAACCCCCAAACTCTAAACCCCAAATCCCAAATCCTAAACCCCAAACTCTAAACCCTAGACCTTAAACCCTAAACTCCATCCCAGATTTCCACTCTTCGGGCATGGTACCATCTCGTCTTTTGGGTTCTGGCGCGAGGTAGGCAGGGATTATGGGGCCAAGAGAGCCCCATAGGCGGTTTAGGGTGTAAGGATTAAGGATTAGGGTTGAGGGTTCATGACTTAAGGCTCACGGCTTAGGGTTTAGGTTTTAGAGATTAGCGTTTAGGGATTCAGGTTTACGGTTTTATGAATAAGGGTTTTGCGTTTAGGGCAATACACCTTCAGGAGCGTACGCTACATGAAGTCTTTGGTTGTTGGTTGGTATGTGTGTATAGTCCCCCTTAAAAGGGGTGTGAGTATTTACAGATAGATACATTTGGTGTCCAACGCGGCGGACTTGAAACTCAAATCCGACGTGAGGTATGTGAGGATCCTAACCCTAAATCCCAATATGACATATTCCTTCAATTAGCTGTATTGGGGCTTCTGGTCTGGGGTCTGTGGAATAGGGTCTAGGGACTGTGGGGTTTTGCGACCGAGAGCTTGGGGATTTGCAGATCTTGGGTTCGGGAGTTGGGCATTAGGGTTCAGGATTCCGGGTTCAGGGTTTAGGCTTCAGGGTTGATGGTTTACCTAAACCCCCAAAGTATGTAAGATAATTGCCCTAAACCCAGAATAATGGCCATAAAGGCCATTATTTTACATACTTTCAAGGCCCAGGGACCCTAAACCCTAAACCCTTATAAAAGACTGTGGGCTTTTACCCTTTTTACATACTTTCGGGGCCCAGGTAAGGTTCAGGGTTGTGGAGTTGGGGCTTCAGATTGTAGGGTTTGCGCATGTGTCTTTAGGGTTGAGGGGCTCAGCTAGGCGGCCCAGAGATCCCTTTAGGGTTTAGGGTTTAGGGGTTTAGGGTTTAGGGCAGGTGTGTCAGGATCCTTGACCTTTTTCCCTAAGGGTCCAAGGACCCAAATAACAGGGGTCCCTTGAAAGGGAATATGTAGGGATACTAGGGGACTATATAGGGATATATAGGACCCAAAAAACAGGGTTCTAGGGCCCAAATACCATAAGGTATTTGGGCCCTAAAACCCTGTTATTTGGGTCCTTGGACCCTTAGGGTTCTGTTTCTAGGTGCACATGGGGCCCGAATTGAAAGGATGACCCTCAACACTTCAACCCTAAGCCCCAGAACCTTAATCCCTTTATCAAGCTCAAGCTACCCCGAACTAGATCCGGAATCCCTACAGAACTCTTACCCACCCAAACTTCTGACCCCCAAACTTGACACTTGCCCAGGTCCGTCCTAAACCATAAGCCCCCTCAATTCACATGTGCAATCAGGTGGCAGGGAAGCTGGTGGAGGATACGGCCTTGGCCAAGGATGCAGCAGCCTTTGACAAAGGTAGGGGTTTCCCAAAATTAGGGGGTACCATTTTGAGGATCCCAATAATAAGGACTATAGTATTTGGGGGTCTATATTAGGGTCCCCTCTTTTGGGAAACTACCAGGTTTCGCTGAAATTTACGCCCTCTTCCAGACCGAGGAGCGGGTTCTCTGAAAGAAGTTTTGAACTTACCTTACCTGGCCCCAGAAGTATGTAAAACAATGGCCTTTACGGCTAGTATTATGGGTTTAGGGCTACTATTTTACATACTTTTGGGGGTTTAGGTACACCCTAAATGCTAAGCCCGAAATCTGAAACTGATTCGTGTAGGATTGGAGCCTCGAGAGGCAGTTCTCTACAGGGTCCGTGGCTAAATCCTCTACCCTACGCAGTTTCATCCCGAACCCTAAACTCTATACAGCTTAACCCTAAACTAGACCCGGCCCTAAACCCTAAACCCTACACAGCTTGGGGCCTAGGGCGGACGAAAGGAGAGGTCTGAATTCAAGTTTCTCACCATGGGCTCCCTAGACCCTAAACCATGAACTCTAAACCCTAACCCTAAGCATCGAAACCACCTAAAAACCTTATATAGTATGGTCTATGGGCCCAAATTCCTCCAAATATGAATCCTGAGATGAATCCTTAGATGCCATCCAAACCCCCAAACCCTCTACACTTTCCTGGGTCCTATCTATCAGCTCTCATTTGGGCTTGTAAGGCGCTATACGGTATGTAATAGGTATATAGGGACCGTTCTCCAGGGACTGGCTGGAAGACCAGGGCTGTAGCTAGACCACCAAGCCGTGCACTAGTGTTTTGGGGGTCCAAGGTTTAGGGTTACATAGTTTTGTATATTCGATATGCTAGACATAAAGTTAGGTATCCTAAAAATGGGGTAGGATTTATAGAGCTCTAAACCCTAAACCCTAGGCCTAGGCAAGTCATAAACTCCCACCGAGTATTCCATGTCTCCGAAAAAGCGGATGCTCGAATAGCATCTGGAGGATCTGAGTGTCTTGCAAAGTGCAGGGAAAATCAACCCCTAAACCCTAAACCCTATATACCCCCCTATCACCCCAAAATATAACTAACCCCTATAGAATCCCTCAGATACCCCCCTAAAATGGTTGAAGCCTGCTTTCGACGGTCAGGAAGCTTATAAAGCGTTCCCCGATGCACTGCCTTTGCTACGCAGTGCGCGAGCAGTCGAAGACTTGAAGGTTTGCGTGCTGTCCAATGCCACAGCGACCAGGCTGAAGATTTCAGGAGAGTTTTGCCCCGATTGCCGTTTGGATTAAGAAGCCATCATAAAAACAGGGCGGGCTACATTTTATGTGCAATTTCACAGCTCAAGATCCCCTGTGCTCTTTGGGTTATGTCCAGAAAGGTTTCTCTGTCCTTTTCCAATCCTCCAAAACACTGTAAACCCTATTCCGTCACAATGACCTTTGTCAGGTCTGGGGTCTTAGGTTTGTCTAGGCTGCTTACGAACTTTCAATACTGGAAAACCAGACGTATAGTGCAAACCCTAGGAGAAGCATGACGTTTAGAGTACCCCTTGCTAAGCCTTAAACCCTAAACCCTAACCCTAACTAGATATTCCCGACCTCCTTACTCCCAATATTCCTACTCAACGTACATGGCCTCTAAATTCTGTGCTAGAGCAATAATAATTGACACAAGCACAAGTGCTCGACCATTCCCTGATGAGTTTAGCAGTAGCCTCAGTGGTCATAGAAATTATGGCCAAAACCATAAGCCCTAAACCCTGAACTGTACTAGGAGAGCTACGAGCAGAGCGTTCTGCCCGCACTCGGTATGGCCGAGTACATAGACTTCTGCATACTTTCCAAAGTGGAAGGTGGGGTAATCCTAAACAGGGTAGGGGCAGGGGTCTAGGAGGGTCTGTGTTTTGGAAGGGGGTTACCTCAAACCAAGCTGCAAGCCCATGTGGCACAAAAACTTACGGCCGTCTATGTGGCTCCCCTTTTGGGTTCCACGTTAATCTCAGGAGAGGGTATGGAGCTTAGCATATAAGAGTTAAGGGGCTTGGGGCACAAGATCAAGACTTTGGGTTTAGGGTGGGGGTTTTGCGTGTTTCGTGCAGAAGGGCTTCGGATTTCGGATTTTGTTTTAGGCCGTACGGACAGTGTAGAGCGTTGCACAAAAGCACCCGACTCCTAAAATTAGGACCCTATAGCCCAGATCCTCTTGCTAAGCAGGTATGGAGAAACCGGACAAAGCTATCTTTGAATTGGCCGCCAAACGAGCTGGCGTTGAGCTTCAAGATGTTTTGCATGTGGGGAACAGCTACAGCAAGGACCTGGGGTCGCAGTTGGGAAGCATGCTGTGTAAAGACAGTGTTTAGGGTTGGGGGTTCAGGGCTTCGCGAAGACCATTTTGTGTGTTTTCATGTGTCCTATACACGGCCAACAGCACGAACTTGCAACCAAGGACTACTGTGGTGCCATTGCTGCAGGGTGTCGTGCCCTTCTGCTGAGGCGGCAAAGCTCTACCTCAGCCACAGGTGATGACATACAGACTGTCCGTTCTCTTTCAGATGTCTGGATGTGGCTGCGGGAAAACAGAGGGCTTGGCGAGTCAGCCGGCAGTTGAATGCTGGCTGCAGAAGAGCAATGGTGCCAGCCCTCACCTTACGCAGGACTTCCAAAAGCCCTTAATGAAGGAATGTACTGTACCTATAGTCCCCCCCAAGTAGATGGACTATGGGATATATGGGCATCCCTATCTACTTAAGGGGGACTATAAGTCGTTCTTAGGGATTTCATCACTTGGATTATTTCTCTTGATCAAGGAGTTGTGGAAGTCCTTGGTAGCCTGCATTCAAAGCTGAATTTCATTGTCAGGATGACGGAGGCCTACTCTTCTGGCTTGCAGACAGAAAGGGTCAGCTGACTGGTTCAGTGTTTGGAGCCTGAAGGCGTTTGCGTTTTTTTTGTTCGGTTGTCATCTCTTCGTGGGGTTTTCTGTAATAACGATGACAATGTGTTCTGGTATCACCCGGGAGCTGATTTCGGGGGGAAGGCTCATGCTGAATAGCTGCTCCCTTTCTCCTGCCTGCCTGTTAGACTCGGCGATCTGGGAATGGTGCAAAGGGGCCCGACATGTGGAGGAACTTGTGTATAGTATTGATGTACCCCACAACCCCCTAGCTTAAAAGGCAGTTTAAAAGTTCGAGGAGTGTACAAAGAGTACCAAGCTTGGGCTGTTTGGATGCCTAGGTTGGGCAAGTGAATATGGTTGAAAGTCGAGAACGAATCATTACCTGGACTCCCAAAGTAGGTAAAACAATAGCCCCAAATTCCTAGAAAAATCACAAAAGGCATTATTCTACATATGTTTAGGGTTCTGTTCCGTTTGGCTATCCAAAGAGTCCCTGCAGAACGACTTTGGGACAGTCTGGTCTTGTGGTTTGGGCTTTATATGGTTGACTGTTTTGATTTTTGGGTTTTAGGTTGGGTTGTTGGGTTGAGAGTGCTCCTTGAGCCCCCAGCTGCAGCGTACATACTGCCGAGAAACCCTAAATTCTAAGCCTTCAACCCGGAAGGCTTGACCCTATACCTGCCTAAACCCTACCTGGACCCCAAAAGCATGTAAAATAATGGCACATATGGCTGTTATTATGGTTTTTTAGGTCGATTAGGTCGATTATTTTACATACTTTTTGGGGGGTTTAGGTACACCCTAGGCCGCAAGGTGGTGCAGAATCTATCCCTACCCTAAGGCTCTTGGACCTTCATAATGGGAGCCCAAACCCTAGCACCTAAACCCCAAACCTTGACCCAGAAAGCCCCAAGTAGTCCTAGGAGCCTTAGGGTAGGAACCTGAATGGAGCTAGGAAGTTCACCCCCTCAGGAAAATTTTGGGGAGTTACGCAGTATATTTTTTATGGGAGGGTAAAAGCTCAACCCCACGCAGAGGGTTTTTAGGGTTTAGGACTTCGGGTTTACAGTAAGAGTCCACGGGCTCAACGATGAGGGTTCCAGCTACCAACAGTCATAATCCCAATCGTGTCTAGAAACCCAAAAGCAAGCCGTGAATCCTAGAAACCCAAACTCCCAAATGGTAGGTTGTCAAAATTAAGGTTCCTTTTTGGGTCTCAATTGTAATGCGACCCCGAATATTCAGAGTACCCCAAGAAGGGACCCTTAGTTTGACGACTTAACCTTAAACCCTAAACCCCAAGACCCTAAACCCTATACCCCAAGACCCTAAACCCCAAGACCCTGAACCCTAAACCCCTAAACCCCAAAAACCTTAAACTTTCGACCGCATCTTTGAAAGGCCGGTGGAGGATGCTCCCGTGGTCGCAGCGCTGCGGCCGGGAGCACGCTTCGTAAGCCTCGAGCTGAAGTTTGGGATTTGAGCTATTTAGTCTTTAGGGTTTCGTGTATGGTTTTTGTTAAACGGGGGTTATATAGGGGATTCCTTTGGAGTTATCAAGGGGGATACTGGGAGTTTAGACTATAGCTCTAGGACTTGGGCTTAAGGATTTAGGTCTTAGGGTTAAGGTTTTAGGGTTTAAACTTTAGGATTTGGGGCTTAGGGTTTAGGATTTGGGGCTTTGGGTTCAGGATCTGGTGCTTCTGGTTCTAGGGTCTGGCGTACTCCAAGAAAATCGTCACTCACTTGTTGCGGAAGAGGCCTCGTTGTTTTGGATGGCAGTGGCTAACTGATGTAGGGCAAGCCTAAGCCTAAGATCCTAAATACTCAGCCCTAAATCCGAAGCAATAAACCCTAAACCCTAGGCCCTAAGCCCCGATGTCTACGTGGGAGAAGAAGCTATTTAGAGCCCTTAATATGAGCTTTAATAGGCTGTCAATGGCTGGGGGAAAGACCCAACGGATAGCACCTGAACCCCAAAAGTATGTAGAATAGTGGCCTTCTGGGGCTGCTTTGGGGTTTTGGGCTATTATTTTACCTACGTCTAGGTTCTAGGTAAGTATCGAAGGAGCCTACAAGTTCTGCATGGCCAGGTAGAAGGACCCCGTCCGACCTCATTCCACATCGTGGTTTACATAGAAACGTTAGCCTTGGGTACTGCCCCCACCCAGTAACAGTCTATATTAGGGGTCCTATTAAGGGCTATATATATATATAACCATATTATACTTATTATCCAACTGCTACTGAGGGTGGGGGCAGTACCCAAGGTTAGCCTAATTGCAGGTGCTGACGCTATGATAAAATGTCAAGACAGAACGCATGCTTTCGTGGTTTTCAGTTTTTTTGCTAGACTCCTGGGAGCATCTGGAGCCCACAGTGCGGTACCATCTACTACTACCTAAACCCCAGACGTATGTAAAATAATATCCCTAAACCCATGATAATAGCCACAAAAGGCAGTTATTTTTCATGCTTTTGGGGCCGAGGTAGGGGGTAAACTCAAGGAACACTTAAGGCGGAACGACTTTCTAGAACCCTCCCGCCCTGAACCCGAAACCTCGTACGTACATAATATAGCGGTATAATATTACTATAGTATATTGGGGTTGTATTGGGATCCTGGAAGAAAATGGAAGCTGCTATAGTGTGTTGGGGTTACGTTGGGAGAATGGAAAACAAGATAGAAGAAAATGTAGTATCTTGGGGTTACATTGGGATAATGGAAAAGAAAATGGAAGTTACTATAGTATCATGGGGTTATATTGAGAAAATTGAAAAGAAAATGGAAGCCACCAACCCAAACTCAAAACCCCCAAAAAGGGTCTCAGTTGTTTCTTCAAAGCCACTGCATCGTGAGGTCTCAGCGTCTTGGCGCCTGAGTTTGAAATGTGGTGGCCTGGCAGAAGGAAGTCACGTAGAGCAAAGTTTAGGGCCTAGGCCTAGGCTTTAAGGTACGACTTTCAATCCTCAAATAGAAAGTAAGAGTATCTCCTCCTTTCCGGCCGATATATATATATATAGTATCCTACGAGAAGAGTTTTACTTGCCAGGTTCACCCAGGAAAAATCAGCAAAGCAGGGGGATTTCATTGAACGCAGCAGAGGGTAAGTCAATACGCTCTGGGCTCAGCAGGATATGTTTTTTGTGGTTGTGTCAGGGCGATGGTGCCCAGATTCAAACAGAGTATGATAGATTCAAACACAGTATGATGACACTAAGTTGAGTAATGCTCACAGATATAATCAGGCGAAAAATATCCCAAGATGAGCTACTAGACCTAAAGGACGCTTTTTCTACACCTAACACCTAACCTCCAAACCCTAAATTTCAAACCCGCATGGGCAATCAAAATCCTTCATGCAAATGACAAAGCCTTGGAACCAGGTTGACTCTCCTCTCTGTGGGATTCAGAGTTCTTGGAGGTTCAGAGCAATGAATGAATGGGCTAACCCTGAACCCGAAACCTTCAAAGAATTAGCAATATTACGGCCCCAGGTTCCTATAGTATAGGATATGAGGTGGACCCCCCACCCAGCAATAGTGACTCTAAGGGATAATGGTAATTATATTAGGGTCCTCTTATAGTCCTATTATACCACTATTACAGGTTGGGGGGTCCTCCTAGGGTACCTCAAATAGACCTCAACATGATATTGGTAATTATTTGGGGCCCTATTTCCCCATATTCTTTGGGGTTTAGCGTTTAGGGTATACGTACCAGCCAAGTATAACTGCAAATACAATATGTTTGAGCATACTAGGGCACTTGGGTGGCTTCTAACTGGGTTGTGTCTGATAAGTAGGTTATCATTACCTGAGCCTTCCCCCCCTAAGGCTTCCTCACGTTGAGGTCTTGAAATCCAGAACTCGAGGACCAAATCCGACACCCCAAAACGGAACCATGCTTGGCCTATGCCTGAGCCCCCAATCCGCTACGCATGAGCCTGAATGCTTACAACGCACCTTTTCTTACTTGGACTTGAAGAGGAGTTGGTCTGCAAATACAGGAATTATCATCGGGGCTCTAAAGGCATCATCGGAGGGGATAAGCCCTCAATCCTAAACCTGAAATCCTGAACCCCAAGCCCCTGAATCCTAAACTTCAAACTCATGAAGCGCAAATCCCAAACGTTCGAACTTTAAACTGTGGTCGATGCCCAAGGGACCAGGTCGAACTGGTGGGCGCCATTGACATGGGAAGAGCCTATTCAGCTGGGCGCTGAGTCAGGTCGTGTGTGTGAGTTAGGTTGAGGGATTAGGTTTTCGGGTTTGTATAGGGGAATGGACGAGAGGAAGCTGCCAGGGTTGCCCTAGCTTGTCTTTTGAACTAACAAGCCTCTTTGCTATTCCCAATAACTCATGCTATCAGCGCAGCCATTACTCAGTTGGCTTACTGACGCGCGCGAGCCCTCAAGAAAGTGGTCGGAGGGAGCAAGGGGGCGTGGTGGAGTGGATCCTTATGATACTCCCTATTGTAGGTACTGATAGCCCCTCCATAACTAGGTGGCATCAATTTGGGATACTTAACCACTTCCCCTATTGTGGTATAAGGGACCCTACCTATAAATGATCTTGCGGCATGGACCCGAAAAGTACCGTTAGACAATTCCCCAAAACAATTCAAAACAGCCCAAGGGGCCATTATTCTACGTGCCTGTGGGGTTCAGGTAATTACCACCCAGTACAAACAAGACAGGGTGGGGCTCAGG